TATATATATATATATATATGCACAGACTGGTACATATGGGTTATATATATAGTGTATATGCAAAGCAAAACCCCTGTGAAATTGTTTAAACTAAAGAAAAACAGTGATCATAAAAATAATATTATTTTGTATTCACCTCCTGTGTATTATGCAAAAGCACAATCAAAGCGTGTTACCAAATAAGTGTTTTTAATTGTTATTCTTATTATATGATTGTTCAGACCACAAGCGATCCACATCATATGTCCAAGTGCCAGCTCAGGGAACTATACTGTCCACAAAATCTTCAGCAGTAAAATTTATAGTGACATTATTCTTTTGCACTGCATTATCCTCCCCTAAATCATCCAAATGTGTTCAGTACTTATAAAACCAATAAAATAACTAATGTATATGTTTACTTCTGCAAGTAATATCCACTTTATGGCAATTTGACATGCATTTACTTGGCTCTTTGTGATCATATCACCCTTCTGCATCTATTATGCTTTATCTTGTTTTCTAGCTTACTAGAACTTTTCTATCATTTATATTTTATGCATTTGCTATCACTTAATCTTTTGTTTTTACACAGGAAACAAGACAGTTGAAGTCCATATGCCTAACAACAGAGTTTGGCATTATAAAATATATATAAGCAGGAACCATTAAGGCCTTTTCCTCCATAAAAATCATTTACAATTTATAATCCCAACATTATTAATATATACTGCATGCTTAAGAGGTCATTGCTAAATTTGCTTTCTTTCACTCACTGAATTTGAAATAACAGCAATTATCAAGTTAGTATATTATCCAATCAGAATGTATAGTAGACTTAAACGACCTATGTTATTTTTTTGATAATTGCTCCTGTATTTTGATATCTGTTTCTCAGTGTCTGGGAGATTATCGGACAGAACGATGGTGGGCTTTCAGTTTTAAGAACTTTTCGCCTTCTGCGAGTGTTGAAACTCGTACGGTTTATGCCTGCACTGAGACGGCAGCTGGTAGTATTAATGAAGACGATGGACAATGTGGCTACATTTTGCATGCTCCTCATGCTCTTTATCTTCATCTTTAGGTAAGAAACCTGTTGAGTGATTTGAGTTAAAATCGGAAAAATTATTGTATGTCCTTTACTGAATATCAATACTAAACTAATTTATTTGCCTGAGAAAAAGCTACAAAATCCTAGCAAATAAGGTATTGTAAGGTAGGACAGTATAATGGTTAGGTCCTGTCACAGAGGCAGTGGTCATTAGAACGGGAACTGAGGGTAAATATCTTGAGTGAATCCCCAGACAGTAATAACAGAGTTTCTAACCCTTTCATTTTGTCCATAACTGATTTTAAAAAAGCTTTGAGGTTCACTTTAAAGAACAAAAACTGATGCACAATATGATTAAGGGCAGAGCAAAGTATTATTTTGTTTATTAAATAAAGAGTTCTTAAAGTACTATAAACTCTCAAGCTTTTTTTCAGTCTATGCACTGTGAGGGGGGCAGGCCAGCATCCAACTTTGCAGGCTAGCTGTTCACATTACACATATATAATGTGTGAGGTGATGTAACCGCCCCCCCAAAAAAGGATACACTTTGGCTTTAAGTATAGAGTGTATTATCACTTTTGCAAAGTGAATGATAGTAAATACCCAAGGGAAAACATGATTTTTGCTAGTTGGTTGATGAAGAAAACACAGCTTCAAGATGTGTTTTCAACGTGTGCATTCTAATAGAATCCCAATGCCTCCATAAAAATTACCTGCCACTTTCTATGTACTACCACATAGAGGACTTACAAGCACCATTTTGATAATAATGAAAGATAAAAGAAAATGCATATGGCTCCCTCACCTACAGACATTTGGGTAACACATAGATATCTAAATGTCTATTGTGTTACTCATATTAAATAATTCCAGGCACACCAGAGGCAGTAAAATCATTTAAGGGCTGTCATTTAGGTTTAACTGATGAGCTGTACAGTTGTTGTTTTTTATACAATGCCTACTTACAAATTTGGGTGTAGTTTTTCTGTTATAAGCACACATTTCTGAGCTTAGATATACACTATATTGCCAAACGTATTGGGGCACCCCTACAAATCATTGGATTCAGGTGTTCCAATCACCTCCATGGCCACAGGTGTATAAAATCAAGCACCTAGGCATGCAGACTGCTTCTACAAACATTTGTGAAACAATGGGTCACTCTCAGTAGCTCAGTGAATTGAAGCGTATTACCGTGATAGGTTGCCATCTGTGCAATAAGTCCATCCGTGACATTTCCTTGCTACTAAATATTCCACGGTCAACTGTTAGTGGTATTATAACAAAGTGTAAGCAACTGGGAACAACAGTAACTCAGCCACAAAGTGGTAGGCCAGGTACAATGACAGAGCGGGGTCAGTGCATGCTGAAGCGCACAGTGCACAGAAGTCACCAACTGTCTGCAGAGTCAATATCTACAGACCTCCAAACTTCTTGTGGCCTTCAGATTGTCACTACAACAGTGCGTAGAGAGCTTCCTGGAATGGGTTTCCATGGCCGGGCAGCTGCATCCAAGCCTTACATCACCAAGTGCAATGCAAAAGTGTTGGGTGTGGTGGTGTGAAGCAGGCCCCCACTGGACTCTAGAGAAGTGGAGATGTGCTCTCTAGAGTGATGAATCATGCTTCTCTGTCTGGCAATCCGATGGACGTGTCTGGGTTTGATGGTTTCCAGGAGAACGGTACTTGCCTGACTGCATTGTGCCAAGTGTAATGTTTGGTGGAGGGGGGATTATGGTGTGGTCTTGTTTTTCAGGGGTTGGGCTTGGCCCCTTAGTTCCAGTGAAGGGAACTCTTAAGGCATCAGCTTACCAAGACATTTTGGACAATTTCATGCTCCCAACTTTGTGGGAACAGTTTAGGGATGGCCCCTACCTGTTCCAACATGACAGTGCACCAGTGTGCACAAAGCAAGGTCCATAAAGACATGGATGAGTGACATTTGGGGTTGGAGGAACTTGACTGGCCTAACCTAAACCCGAGTCCTGACCTCACCCCGATAGAACTCCTTTGGGATAAATTAGAGCAGAGACTGCGAGCCAGGCCTTCTCGTCCAACATCAGTAGCTGACACCTCACAAATGCACTTCTGGAAGAATGGTCAAACATTCCCATAGACACACTCCTAAACCTTGTGGACAGCGTTCTCAGAAGAGTTGAAGCTGTTATAGCTGCAACGGGTGGGCCAACTCAATATTGAACCCTACGGACTAAGACTGGGATGCCATTAAAGTTCATGTGCGTGTAAAGGTAGGCGTCCCAATACTTTTGGAAATATAGCGTATTTGTTCCTTATTAATAACGCTGTGTCATTTTTTATATTTAATGGAAAATGTAAAAAGTAAAAACCATATTGTGTTTGCATGCACTAAAGAAAGTATATTTCCGTACTATAAAAAAGAGATTTTATGGCAAAAGAATGAGTTGATATTTAAAATAAGAGACCTATTCAGTAAAAGTTGATATCAGGAACAAAAAAATAAAACCCGGGGACTCAAGCCAGGTACACATAATAGCCATAGACCAAGTTTAGTAGGAGTCAAATGTCTGGGTTTGATGGTTTCCAGGAGAACGGTACTTGCCTGACTGCATTGTGCCAAGTGTAATGTTTGGTGGAGGGGGGATTATGGTGTGGTCTTGTTTTTCAGGGGTTGGGCTTGGCCCCTTAGTTCCAGTGAAGGGAACTCTTAAGGCATCAGCTTACCAAGACATTTTGGACAATTTCATGCTCCCAACTTTGTGGGAACAGTTTAGGGATGGCCCCTACCTGTTCCAACATGACAGTGCACCAGTGTGCACAAAGCAAGGTCCATAAAGACATGGATGAGTGACATTTGGGGTTGGAGGAACTTGACTGGCCTAACCTAAACCCGAGTCCTGACCTCACCCCGATAGAACTCCTTTGGGATAAATTAGAGCAGAGACTGCGAGCCAGGCCTTCTCGTCCAACATCAGTAGCTGACACCTCACAAATGCACTTCTGGAAGAATGGTCAAACATTCCCATAGACACACTCCTAAACCTTGTGGACAGCGTTCTCAGAAGAGTTGAAGCTGTTATAGCTGCAACGGGTGGGCCAACTCAATATTGAACCCTACGGACTAAGACTGGGATGCCATTAAAGTTCATGTGCGTGTAAAGGTAGGCGTCCCAATACTTTTGGAAATATAGCGTATTTGTTCCTTATTAATAACGCTGTGTCATTTTTTATATTTAATGGAAAATGTAAAAAGTAAAAACCATATTGTGTTTGCATGCACTAAAGAAAGTATATTTCCGTACTATAAAAAAGAGATTTTATGGCAAAAGAATGAGTTGATATTTAAAATAAGAGACCTATTCAGTAAAAGTTGATATCAGGAACAAAAAAATAAAACCCGGGGACTCAAGCCAGGTACACATAATAGCCATAGACCAAGTTTAGTAGGAGTCAAATTTAGCATATACCAAGTCATCCTTGAACACTTCCATAAACATGTATAGAGTGATATATTGTTTTCTGTGTGCACGATTCTTCTCTCTAGCTGTCCTGTTATTTCTCCAACTATGCAGACACAGCCAGGAGCCAGATGCAGGAGTCAGTGTGTTACTACATGCCCAGCACTTAGCCAATGATATATTTAAAACATAAACTAAACCATCAAGTAAAATGCCAAATATACAAACAGAGATATAAAAATCCACAAAAGAATACAAATCCCTCATGTGCAATCAGTGTCCAAACAATCTCTTGTAACACATTTCACTTGTAGTATCTTCACTTTCAGAGATCCCCAGTGCTCCACATCAAATGTGATTCATATATATGTACAATTATTATCAAGAATAATTTATTGTATATAATTATGAATCAATTTTGATTTGGAGTCATGTTTGATGTACAATATGTGCCAATCTATTTTGCATTCCACCTTTGTGATCCACCTCACTGCTGCCCCTCTTGTAGTCATACTTGTAGTCATACTCACCAGCTACTACTGATCTCTTAAGAAAGATCATAAATTGCTTTATGAATAATGTTGTAGTATTTTCTTGAAATATGCTCCACAAACAATTATCTTATCAATCCTCTGTCTTACAAGAAAGTAGAGAAGAAAACCACATAGAAGAATATACTCAGGTTACATTTATTGTTAAAAACAACAGTACAAGCCACACAGGGTGGTGCTAGACAAGCACAACATAGGAAAACTACCACACTCCTTGGTACCTCTAGAGGTGGCTGCTGAGTTCTCTGCCTGGTGTGATGAAGTCACAAACTCTACTTCTCAACACGTTACACCCCCAGATGACTTCCTCAGGAACAGCATATGCAGTGTTGTCACAGCATCCCTTATAAACAATCATCCTGCTCTGTTCTCCATCCTTCTCACTGTGTATTAACTAGTTCAGTTTCCTAGCTCTGAGCCATCAGTCATTACACCAAGGGAAATTCTCAATACATCAACTCCCTCTTGTGGATATTTAATCAACTGTCCTGTTCTTTTTTCCTTAATCTCCTGCTTTTATCTGCTACTGTAAGACAAAGCAGCAAGACTATATACTAAATGTATACATAACTATAAAATGCATTAATACCATATCACACATTTTAAACGAATTGTAAACATTAAAATTCTATAAAACAAAAGAATATAACAATAATACTATATAAATATGAATATAAAATTAAGGGACTTTTATCAAATTAGAACTACTACCTTAAGATTCTTTACAAATCCTTAAAATACAGATGTTATCTATTAACTCCTATTATCTATTAGCTCCCTCATTTAGTCAGTTGGCCTGGGTCTCTACTGTTGGCTTGCCTAAAATATATTTATAGCCTTTATTTATGTTGTTAAAATGTTCCCAACTATATACTCCAGTATATAGCTAACATAGTAGAGTTGTACATAATCTTTTTGACATCACAGTTTTTGTTACTTGTTACTTTTGATTTACATTTATTTTTCTTTTGCTCTATTGTTTTTTTAGTTGTTCTGCATGCTAGGCATCCTCTACATGTAAATGTAAATTTCTTATTACCAGGGGT